AATAATTGTATTTCCCTCTTTTCATTTCAAGTTTTAGAAGCATTAATTGCATACATGGCCCCTGACTTCTATGAAGAAAGTGAAAACAAGGTCTTGTCAAATCAGTTAGTTGAAAAAATTTATTAAACTGAGAATAAACAGTTAAATCGTGATTATTCTGTCAACTCTACTGACAACATTTGTGTTGGCTTGTAATGTGCAAGTCTAATAACTTCCTAGTTTTTACTTTCTTGTTATTCAGAGATGATGACTGCCTTCTCTGAAAACTCTGAAGGCTGTCTAGCAGCTCTAATCTGCCATCTTCTGGGCTGGAAAGAGCCTTTTTGTGTTCAGTCCATGAGGTCATTAGGAGACATTCTGGACATGGGCACCTGATTGCTGTGATTATTTGTAGGTCTTATTACAAAAGGCAGCACAAATCATGGCAGGGAGTGTCCTGGATGTTGCTTCCGTTAGCGAGCCCTGTATGGAAAGACAGGGGAAGTGTCCTTAGTGAATGTGAATAGAGTTGGCATTTCTAGGGAACTAAGCTGTAAAGAAATTGGGATGTGGAGAGCAATGCACGTGCCAAACTTCTTATCAGAGGTAACCCAGAGCCCCATAGATTTTGATGTTCAGCCTCTGTCCTCCACAGTGCCTGGCTGGTAGACATCCTCTCTTCAGTATGCAGAAGGTGTTCTACGACGGGAACCTTTCTGTGGTACTGTTGCTGATAAAATGTATCTCTCCTTGGAGAGTTTTCTTATTTAAATGTGAAGATGTAGCTGAATTTCAACTGCAAATATTGACAGCCCTTAGGTTGCAGATCTGAATAGGCTTACAGGTGAAGAGCTATAAATTTATGGGCTTTTTATAAGTGAGCCCAAAGGGGCTTTGCTCTCCAGAGCCTGGCTTTCTCCCTATCTCTCATTGCAGTTCTGCCTGAAATGGCTTTCCTGATGTCTCTGGCATAGAATTCACTTACTGTGATCTTCACACTTCAAAAATTCTTCAGTCCTCTAATGCCTTGGCTTCCTGAGAATCCATTGGTTATGAAATATTTTAAGGCTGTTAGTGAGTTTTTCTGTCATTATGTTTTCAGCTGTACCTTAAATGTACTTTCAACCGGAGATGATGGTTTATCTAGTACAAGATGGAGATTAAAATGTGAAGGAGAGTATTTTTATATTCTTTCTTTTTGCTGCCTTTGGGCACCTGAATGTAGATTACAACAGGTTTCAGTAGATTTAGGCAGAAATGGACTGAGTTGATAATGAGTTTTTAAGATGTTTTGTGAGTTTTCTTAAATCCGAAAGGTACTTTGCAAACTGAGTGCTAGGTTCTCTAGCCAGGACAGAAAGCTGGCTTGTTAACACTTAGCATTTGTTCAGCACCTGGTCACAGATGTGTCTGAATATTAAGAAAAAATGCGTGTGGTGTTCAACAGAATAAAAAGTGTTAAGATTTGTGTGAACAAGCAGGAGGAAGTATAGATGTGCATATGTAGGAGCGGAAAGACTATTACAGGGGCAATCCAATTAACGCAAATGATGCATGCAGATGTCTTTGGCTTTTTAGTACCATTCACTGTTAAACTCCATAAGAGTTTAACAAAGGGGGAGAGGGCTGTCTTCCCTTGCGTGGCAGTAGTGTTTTCAAACCTGAGCATCCCGCCCCTGCCAGCAGACCACTGGGGGACACTTTCTTTTACCTGCTTGTGTAATTGCTAAGTGTGAATAAGTGCATAGTGAAACAGTAAAATCAAAGGATGCATTTATGTGGTAACTTAATTTTGCCTCCTGCAAACAACTCTGTGCCTGTTGACTCCTGGCACTTCAGGGGAGCAGTGTCACTGCTTTAAAATTCAAACAAGATAATTGAAAGCAAGCCCCAGGTTTTTCGGGCTGTATGCTCAGGGCCAACCTGTTTGATTTATCTTGGTATTGACTTAACAGGACTGTTCACCTAAAGGAAGCAGGATTTGAGCTTGAAAATAGACATTCTTTCAGCTATGTATTGATCGTTGGAGCTGGATCTAGTCCATCCTTATGATGTACCTTCTGAAAAAATGGCTTCTACCTTTATCTTGGCATCTGATGTTGGGTGAATAATGACTTTAATTAAAAAGAATACCTGGCCACTTGGTCTTTCAGATGAGATACATAGCAAATTCAAATATGTGGCCTGAGCAGTTCCAAATGTTTGCTTTTTCCTCCCTTCTTTATAATGTCTCCTTCTCAAGAGACAATCCAGACTGTGATCTTGCTCTTCTGAAGGCAGCAGAAATTTTGTTGTTGACTCCAATGAAGGCAGGATCACCTCTATAAACACTGTAGGAAACCAGTGGAATTTTCCCATTTAGTCCAAAGGGTTTTGACTCAGGCTGTAGATCTAATAAATAAATAAATAAACTTTCTTAAATTGACAAAATCTTTTCTGTCAGAACTCCTGACCATCTGCTTATTATCTCCAGACACTGTCATGTGAGGTGTTTTGTCCAAAGAACAATTCTTTGGAATGAAGTGGCATGTGTGTATTTGTATATTTGTGTATTTGTTTTCCATATTGGCTTACAGAGAAGCTACTCTTCTCTTACGGAGAAGTTACAAGCTAGTAACGTTTTGGTTTTTTTTTTAAGTTTATTATGATATGGGTATTGGGTACTTGCATGAAAATTCATACTCTGCCAATAAACCTATTACAGTAGCTATGTAAGATACTTTTATGCTGTCTTCAATATTTTTCCGACTTTCTGTGAAAAAGAAACAGTATACATTTTTCTGCTGTAGCATATTTTGCTTAAAAGTACAGTGTAGCTATTTCCTCAGAAAAAAAACACAACCCACCTCTGCATATTTAATTTCTTTTTACATGTTCAGTGCAGAAATAGAAGACTAAATTTCCTTCCAGCATTGCATGTACATAGTTTCTTGTCCATTGAGGTTGTGAATATAAATTTGGCAACAAAAGTCAGGCAGCCCTTCAGCTGTGCTTGAAATAATTGTGAAACCAAAACACACACAGGAAAGGAACATTGATAAGTCAACCTTGTAAAAACTTTTATATACATATATATATATAATTTGAATACTCTCATTTTTTTGGAAATCTCCCACCCATCCCCAAAACCTAAATTGCATTGCCAACTCTTTTGAAAGTTAAGTTTTTCCACTTAATCAACCCATAAAAATTTCTGCCCCAAAAGTACAGTGACCTTAATTATTCAATAAGATTTCATCTATGAGGATGTAAGCCTCACCATATTGCATCAGACCAAGGTGTTCTCAATCTCAAAATCCTATGTCAGGTATTAGTTGGTAACAGACTCTGTAAAAATATCAACAACAAAACAACCCAGGACAGGGCAAGGGTGGAGGTAGTAGGAAACAGGACAATCCTCCAGACTTGCCACTTGAAAGATTGTCTCTTTCTGGGTCCTCTCCCTTTCACCTTCTTTCTTTAGTCTACTGTACCTTTGATTTACCCACACCTCCACCTATATCTGTACTGCAGCCTCTTCTCGTATAAGGAGCCTGTACTGCTTTGATGGTGAATATTTTTATTATTCTCAGCATTGTCTCTCTGTCTAGATCACTTATTAAAAAACCCACCCTGCTGTAGTGCTGCTAATTTACAAGGTGCTTTACAAACACAGATAAGAGCCATCTAAGAAGGCTCTACTCTAAATAAGACGAGACAAATGCAAGATGAAGCACTTTAAGGCTGTTCAGGAAATTGAGGACATGGAAATGACTTATGCAAAGAGGAGAGAGGGTCTGTGAGAAAGGGTTTTAGGCAGGGCAGAGAATGAGTTTGGCAGTGGATGAAAATGGTCAAATGCAAGGAGCAGTGGAGCTGAGCTGTAAAAGCAGGAGCAAGGAAGGGAGAGGAAGTGAAAATAAACTCAGAGAAATAGGGGATAGTGAACAGTGAGGAAAGGCCCTTGAGAGGAAAGCAGTAGCATAGAATATTTATCACAGGTTTCTTCGAAATGGGCTGGGAGGGAACTTGAGAAATCTGTATAGGTTTGTATGGGGGTTTTTTTTGTGTTTGTTTTGTTTTGTTTTTTGACAAAGCTTAGCTATCTATGACACCTTTTCGTCTTACCTTGTTCTTAGCCTACCTGCAATGATAGGCATAGCAAGCACTGATTGCATGTTGTTATGCAGAAAGTTTCTCTGCAATTTAAGATAAGTTCCATTAAATATTACCCTGTCTATTGTGTCCATTTATGAAGGGAAATAATTAAATATAAAACCTAATGCAAGACAGGAAGCCAAAGGAAGGAGGAGTGTGCTCTCCCCGTATCTTCTTGTCTACTCCATCTAATTGACTACTCCAATCTCTTTTTCTCCCTGTGGCTTTGTAAGGGCCAGATAAGTTCCATTAAATATTACCCTGTCTATTTTGTCCTAATGCAAGACAGGAAGCCAAAGGAAGGAGGAGTGTGCTCTATTGTGTCCATTTATGAAGGGAAATAATTAAATATAAAACCTAATGCAAGACAGGAAGCCAAAGGAAGGAGGAGTGTGCTCTCCCCGTATCTTCTTGTCTACTCCATCTAATTGACTACTCCAATCTCTTTTTCTCCCTGTGGCTTTGTAAGGGCCAAGGAACATAGATTGAAAAATTGACTTGTTATGATGACCTAATCTTTATTAATAAGAACTCGATGGACTCGATGATCTCTGAGGTCCCTTCCGAGGAGTGTGCTCTCCCCGTATCTTCTTGTCTACTCCATCTAATTGACTACTCCAATCTCTTTTTCTCCCTGTGGCTTTGTAAGGGCCAGAGAACATAGATTGAAAAATTGACTTGTTATGATGACCTAATCTTTATTAATAAGAATAGGATAAACTTGGGGAATAAGCCAAATCCTACAAGATGCTTTGCGTCTTCGTCTTCTTGGGATTTAAATTGGCCTTTGCATTTTAGTATCTTGTAGGATTCTACAAAGTGCCTTTTTCTTTACATACTGATGTTTTGTTTTGCTCCCCATCGCTTATCTCTGCGATTATCAGGCCAGCACCAAGTCAAGCAAGGGACCTGTGAAGTTGTGGCCGTGCATCGGTGCTGCAATAAGAACAGGATTGAAGAACGATCGCAAACAGTCAAGTGCTCCTGCTTCCCGGGGCAGGTGGCTGGGACGACAAGGGCTCAGCCCTCGTGCGTGGAAGGTAAGCAGTCTCCCGCTCACTCATGGCTCATTAAGATTGTTTGAAAGTTTAGTCTCCTTGATTGTTTGACTTCCCACTGCCTCAAAAGCATAATCCTTCCTTTTGTTAATTTTGGAAACATCTCTGTGCATTGATGATAATGAGTCTGTGCATAAATCTGGGTGTAATTAATCCTCTTAATATATGTGCTTGTCCATTTCATGTCTGTGCCAATAAAACTTTTTAATTTTTTCACACAAGAATTCTTCTTTAAAACTAGTCTGAAAACAGCATAAGCCAAGAAATTCAAGCTTATGAATTTAACCCTTACAGTTGTCTTTAGACTTAACAGCTTGGATAAAAAGTCACTGGGTAATAAATGCAGCCCTAAGACTGGTCATGCAGATAGTGCTGGGACATCTGATTTTGAGACCTGGTCTCTGACTAGGAGTGCTGTGGAGACACCCCTTGATCTCTGAGAGGCTTGGTACCGTGAGCACTTCCCTGGGGAGGCAGTTCCAGTGACTGTCTGCCCACAAATTATGTATGTACTAAACTGTATTTGGACAAAATAAGAACACATAGTTCACGTTCATGAGTATATGTCCAGAAAGTCTTGTGTCAGAGTACGCAATTTTCAGATATATATACAGAGATGCTCTTACTTATTGGAATTCTTGGAAGAAAGTAGCTTACTGCTTAGTAGTTTTTATAGCAGATATGTTTAAGTATGTTCTATTTGGATTTAGAAAATACATTCTCTTTGGGTTTTAGCTGCTTCTACATGCACTCAAAAGGAAAATAACTCTGCAACTAATGCTGGAAAATGATATTAAGTAGGATGCCATCAGTCTCTTATGTTGACATTGCCTGTGAACTTTCCAGGGTTTGTGTTTCAGCTTTTCTTGAGCAGCACCAAAAAGACCATTGGAGCAGACTAAATGGGATCGTATTTCATGTTCTATGTAGCGTAGCAGCCTTTATAAAGCTATTGGAATGAAATTATGTTTTCCTTTCTTGACCAAAAAAAATCGAGGGTTATATAAATAAATAATTGCAATTAATTTTGTTGAGATCTGCATGATAATTTTACAGAACTCTGATGCTTCTTGCTCTATTTAAATGAAGGTCTGATTTCTCTTTTGGTGTTGGCAACCCAGGAAACAAAGTGTTGATTCTAGCTTTCCCTTAGGCCAGGCAGGCATATCACTGGTCATAGATTGTAGATGCCCCATAAGAAATTAAAAGTATTGCAAGAACTAGATTATCACAGAATATGGAAGACTGCTGAGGTCTGGGACTTTAGAAAAGTCTAGGTAAACTGTACTTACATTCTGTTCTGGACTCAAACTTGACATTTGGGCAGCTTTCTGCTATAACCTTTTTGGATTAAATTGTAACCAAGTTAATATAAGCCTTTCTCATTTTAAATGTATACATCTGGGTTTAGTATTTTGCAGGTTTTTAATTTAGTTGGGTACTTATCCTTAGTTTTTTCAGTCTTGCAACATATGGGTTTCCTGACTTGATTCCAGTGGGTTTCAGTGACAGCTTGTTTGTTAATTTGGGTGGGGGTAGAGCCTAGTTCATCAGAGTCCCTTGTCAATGACTATTGGGCGTTGTGCCCCTTTGTATAGATAGGCCATGAAATAGGCTTATAAAGCCCATCATCATGTTTTTTAGGATACAGTCATAGGCCAGCTGGATATTTACATTTTGAAATAGGTTGACAGATGCTAAAGAATTTTATACAAGGTCAGATTTAAAGCAGCAGTTTATTGGAGCAGTGTTATATGTTAAGGCTTAAGCCCTCCTCAAAGAGGTAGAGAATATGTGTGCCAATATTCACAGCGACCGAAATTTCAGGAAGGCCCCCTGTGTGAGTCAAGGCAGAATGGTTGGTTGCATAATTGCATTCAGGCACACACCTACATGTAGAAGTGACTTTTTTTCTCATGGTATGTGTTAATGAGGAAAATAAGTACTTTAGTGTTACAGAAGAAATGATAGATATCCAGGTGAGTTCCAAGAAAAGGTGTTGAAGTGGTGCAGAAAGGAAAGTAAAAGCTAGTTAAATCTTGCAAATACAGAAGGTGAAAGTCTTAAGTGCCTTGATTGCTACAAATGAGTCCATTTCCATGTTGTGCAGTAATACTATGTTGTGGGGCCTAACTGACATTTATGGAGTGCTTTGCATTTCTACAGTGTCTTTCATCTCAGAAACTTTAAATATTGGCAGTAGGAGAAGCCAAAGTACTTCATTTAAAAAGAAGAATATGAAGGTGAAAAATCAATGTTTGTTATAGATTAAGATCTTCCCAGCATTTTAAAAAGACAATGAAATTACTCGTCATAGTCTAGGTGGGAGTACAGGGCAAGAACTCTTTGGGTTGGAGTAGTTTTAATCCCTAGCCCATGATAAAAGTTACCTAGATAATTGCATTTTGAATGCATCCAACAAGAAACTGTCATTTCTGTGTTTTAACTTGTGAAAGCTACTGACAAGCGTTGCCAAAAAAAAAAAAGCAAGGCTAGTTCTGTACACGTGCACACCTCATTTTCCGGGGGTTATTTGAGCTTCCAAGCACAGGCCCATCTGATAGTTTGAGAACTGTTGCTGTGGATAAATGGATCCACTCAGCTCAGAAAAAAGCAGAGCATATGAAGGAAATTTAAATACGCATAGAGGACATACCACACAGCCTGTATACCCTGCCTTGAGTTTTAGCTATACTACTGGATTGTAGCTATAGAATATTTTTGTTTAGTGGAGGTCAAACCATTCTTCTGTCGATGACTAAATTAAATTTAGAGTAGTCATGAGATTTTGTTTATATCCATTTTCTTTACGGAAATAAACATCCTTGAATAAGTACCTCCAGCTTCTCTAACAGCTCGTGCCAAGAAGATAAAACATTAATAACTTTTGTCTGTAGAGTAGCTATCTCTGCCAAGTGCATTAAATGCTTCTAAGTAAATCATCACTAGCCAAATCATCTTCCACCAAGGCAATTCTATTAGTCCTAGAATGCATGAGGAGTAAACACTCAGATTGGAAAAAATGTGAATGGGAATAAAGAATTGTTAAAAAATTTTCTGTAGGGCCAAAGAGCCACAATGAAAAAAACAAAAGGACGATTTTGGCTGAAAGCCCGTATGGATTCCACACTGAAGGGAAGAGAGCATATAGAAACCAGAAAACAAAAAATCAATACATAAGAAACAGATAAAAGAAGAAATAGGCTGAGAAGATTTCCCTCCCACTGTGTTTGAATGGATTTCAGAATACTTGAAAATTCAAAAGGATGCTAATGCTGTGTCAGTATTCAAAGAAAAAAGGGAAATATACAGTAGAACGAATAGCGTACTGAAAATTTATATGGAATAAAGCTTAATCCAGTGGAGTAGGAAAGACATCCGTATTTGTCTAGACTAAAGACAATATGAATTTGCTTGTTCAAATAGAACACACAGAAATCCTTAAAAAGAAATATTGGCCCATAATGCCTGAAACACTGACATTCTTAGTGCTGTGTCACAGTTCTCCTTTTGGGAAGTAACAGGATGAGTTAGGTACTTTATAACTCATTGTTAACTGAAGAAGTGCTAAACAACATCTACTGGGATAAATTTTTTTTAATTTTGTTTTTTAATTCTGGTCCTGGGTAGTTTAGAGTCCTAATAAGGTGGCTAATGGATCTCTGGTCAGCTATTGAAATCCAAAATGTATTTCAGAATACTTGAGGTATTCTAGAAGATCACTAGTATTATACTGATTTGAGAGGGTAGGTAGCATGGTCTAGATACTTAGGGGCAATTGAGGCTGATCTCAATCCTGTGTGAATAACCGAGAAGCTGATATGATAGCCAATTAGCAAGGAATTCCTGGAGAACAGATCACAAGAGTGTATGTGATTTTCTGAAAAGAGTTTTGCCAGACACTACTGATGCCATTTCCAGAGGAGTTTTCAAAAGTAATACAGGTAGTTTCTGGTATGTGTGTAAACCCGGGTTTTCCAAGTTTCCTTGGAAGACAATGTATAATTTATTCAACTAAAGATTTGGTTATGAAGTACATTTGAGGATTTAAGTCTCATTTTTCTCTAAGCTATTTAATTTTGAACCATATGCCACTGTGTGCGCTGCTCAGTGTCGGTTACCTACCATAGCTCAAACACACATCTCTCCACAGAGCCATCAGTAGGAAAAGGGAGTCAAATGGCAAATACCTACTGGGATTTCACAGTGCTTTGCTCTGCACCTCACACTCTGCAACATTTTTAGCAGTGACCTGAAAGCAAATATAGAATCTCTCCTGACAAAAGAATGTATGGGTTTCATCCAGTGGGGCAAAGGAGTAATTAATGACAAGCCCAAGGCAGTCATATGGCATAGTGCTACTCGGAGGAAGTTGAACCTGTTTGAAATTACTGTACTAATAAAGACAAATGCATTGTGGCGTGAAACTGAAGAAGTTCAATCAGCTCAGTTTATCAGGCAGAAGATTGAAAAGTTACTTGATTGCAGCACGTTCAATACCTTCATGGGGAGAAAATGATGATTAGTAATAAGTGCTGTAATGCAGGAGAAGAAAGCATAATGGAAGAGGTGGGAAGAAGAAGAAAAGTAAGGCTTTGTGTTTCATGCTGAGATTGTTTAACTTTCAGAAAAAAATGATAATGGGAGAAGTTTCTTTCTTTGCCTGTTCCAGATTGCCTTGGAAGACACTGTGTAGCCAAACACAACTGGGGACACAACATAGCGAATTGCATGAGACAAGATGAGATGATGTTTTGACACCTTTTGGCTTTGTTCTCTATGAAACTATTGTTTCCATGGAGTCACATTATCTAGGGAGCGATGTCAGCAGAAGGTTTATTTCTGGCAGGGTTTCTGGCTGGTTTCTGGCTGATTTCCAGCAAGTCAGCTGGCTAATGTCCAACTGAAGCAGTGTCCCTTCGTGTGGGTGGTTGTGTATGAGAGTGACATAGCTGCTCTCCTTTCGTAGAAAAGTCATCTGTTGAAACCTCTCCAGGAGTCCCTCAATCTGAAGAAAAAACCCTTATATCCTCCAGTTAGTTGCACAGTTAAAGCGACAATAATAGTTAAAGAACTTTAGCTATGAGGATAAGGTTAAGGCTGTGATGGGGAATTTTAACAGACTAATCTCAGGGGTGTGTTTGACACAAACAGCTACAGCCAGTTAGGACATATAGATCAGCAGAGTGGACATTACAACTACAAAGAAATTGGACATAGAATGGATGTAAGAATTAGTGGTTTGCTACAGCAAAGAATTGGGGATTTGCTGAAAGCTAATGGAATGAGATCTGTATTAAGTATTTCAAAGTGTTGCCATTACTCTGAGGAGAGGTATCTGCACAGAATAGAAATCAGTCAACAGGAGGGTAGGAGTCACTTTCCATGAAAGTGTCTAAAGAAGAGGTGAATAGAAGGTGAGTTATGCAGTCTATTGAAGAGCTTGTGGATCTTGTTTGAGTTATTTACTCAGCAATGCTTCCCATTCACGTCTGTGCTTGTTTTAATGGAAGATGGTACTGCTGGAGATGGTGGGCCAGTTTCACTGTCTTCAGTTCACGGGCTCCACATGGACCAGGAATTTGCATGGGCACAATTGCTCAATAATGCTGTGTGAACCCACTCCTGTGCTGCCCTTTTGGCCAGTCAACTCATCCTTTTATTCTTTAATCGGGTGTTAGGAGCAGGTTGATGCAGGTTGTATAGATAAATAAAAACTGTCATGTTTGGTGTGTTTTCTGTGGTTTCAAAACATCTTGAACCCAAAACAGTATGAAAATTGTTGGATCTTAGGAGTTGTTAGAGTAGCTGTCCACAAGGGATTCCAAGTACCTGCAGGAGGCAGGTGAGTGAGAGGTGGTTTTCAAGGTCTGAAGTTGAACAAATGATCCAAGATCCAAGTGATTGGTGAAAGGAACCATGCATTTATTTTGTAATTCTATGAGATTGAAAGAATAGTTTGTAAGAGCCAAACTGGTATTCCAGAAGTATATGTTTCATAGTGCTTTTCATGTAGGCTTAAAGTGAAAGTACAAAACAGAAGTAATTGAATGTACATTTCAGCAATATCCTGATATCATCTTGCCTGCTTGTCATCCAAATTTGAACATTGCAGAAATATGAATCTACCTTGAAATTAATAGGAAAAAAAGTGCTTTAAAAGAAGCAGACTCCATTATTTTTTTTCATCTCTTGGATGCGGTATCTTTTAAAGCATCAATTTGATATTTTGTGCACATAGTGGCATAATGCAAGCTAACTAAATCAGTGCTTTAAGCCATATTTTATTTTGAAATCCACCTTAGATTATGTAAGATTGTGAACTGATATATTTCATAATAATTTTCTGGGATTTAATGAATCCCATGAACAATGCAAAACTGAGAAATGCACGCAGGTATTTGTGGGAAATTATATGTGTTGTTAACAGCAGTATTATAAAGTCATGACTACATGTGCAAAAATAACAAGCATGGTCTTATTAATGAAAATTGGCTTAAGGGTAGAAAATTAATAAGTTTGCAGATTTAAGGTGTACTACTGTAGTCTTCCAAAACATACTGCAAAACTGGCAGTGTAGCTGCAAGTCAATTTTTAGTTAATAATCTAATGCTTTCAGGTGGTTTCCACATTCTTATCTGCAGTCGTTGCTGACAGAGCTCACGTGCTTACATCTCTGTGCAATTCTATTTTCTCACCCAGTGAAGGGAGAAACTGGCATTTCTTCATCCAGTCTCACATATGCGTATCCGGGTTAAACAAGAAGCCTTAGTTTCATTCCACCTTATAGCAGGTACTTGACTGAAGCACGTAAATGACAGAGACAAGTCATCTTTGTAATCAGTGGAGATGGAAAGGCACTTCCAGAGGTCAGTTCCAATGTTGGAGTCAGTCTGTGGCGGTGCTTACGTGTCTTCACCATTTGCATATGGCATTTACCCTTTTGTGTGCTGAAGTGTTTTAGCCACATTTTTTAGCTCAAACACAGTCAATATGATTAGGTAACAAATCAGTAACTGTTGGTTCTACCTTTTGAAATCAAACAATTGAATGTTTCACAGGCAACCTTCCTAATAAAACCAACAGTAATAAGAAAAGAGATTATATTCTGTTTCTCTTTCCTGTTTCTTCTTCTAGCTTCCATTGTCCTACAGAAGTGGTGGTGTCATATGAACCCCTGTTTGGATGGAGAGGACTGTAAAGTACTACCAGACTATTCAGGTTGGTCTTGCAGCAGTGGAAATAAAGTCAAAACCACAAAGGCAAGTACAGAGATCACCTATATTTAAAGGTGGCAATCTGCTGATAGCACTTGCTTATTGCATTGCACCTGCGGGTGTGAGCACCAGTGCTGGACTCCTTGGTGTTTTGGAAAGTGATGTTTAATGCAATTGGTCTCAGAAAGGGAAATGTTGGACCAGAACTGTCCCTTCACTGCCAGCCTCGTTAAGTTATTGCGTGCTGGAATCAAACTGAAGAAGGCCCTGCTTCATTCTTTAGCGAGCAAAGAAACCATTCAGTTGTGACCAGTGCTAGAGGGTTAGTCATGCTCCAGGATCAATTCTTCAGTTTGCAGACTGACTACATGGATTCAAGGTCTTTACCACTGTCACCTAAAGTTATATTCCTGCACTATTGGAAAGCCCTTTTAGCTTTTGGAAGAAGTAGCCTGTCTTGAGAGTTGTTGAGAATCTGCACTGACATCAGTGGGAACTGTGGGACAGTGAGCACCACTGGAAATCAGGCTTGTTCAGATCATCTCTAATTACAGGCCATCCTGTAGACTGCCTGTTTTAAAAAAACCACACATTTTTCTATGCTATCCTATTTCTTAATTAATGGCCAGCAGAGAGAAAATATCATGTCCTCTGTCTGCTTAGCAACCTAAAATGAGTTCAGTGCATTGAAGTTCAATAACTCATAGCAAACTGCATATCTAAATATATCATAAAACATGAGTCTTTAGCAGGCAGTAGCAAGGAAAGACATATGCTTAGCTTTTCCCTTTACAGCCTCTTCTAGTTGAGAATTAATGTTGTTGATTAGGTTGCAGTCTGAGCAAATACTGACACCAAATGTTGTTTAATAATGACTGTTCTAAGGAGCGAAAACTCTACTAAATTCTGGATGAAAGAGAGAAAATGAGATAGTTTGGGCAGCTGTGGTGTGGTGTCGGTGATCTAAAGCCCAGCTACAGACACTGCACGGTTGCAAGCTTGCTGGAAAAATCTGACCAAACCAACCAGTTTGGAAAACCCTATTCCTGTTTTCAAGATCAGAGTAATTGTTGGAAATCAGTGTCATTTATCAAATGCCAAAGATGTAGTCTATGGTGTGCCTAGATCCAGCACTTCTCCTGTAGTGGATACTATACCCCAATGTTAACCTGTACCCTCTAGAATCAGTATTAGGTACCTGGCAGTCAGGTATCGAAAGGTATAGATCACACTCAGCCTCTAATTTTTTTCACAGGCACTGATGTTTAACTACTCCTATGTAAATAAAGAGTATAGTTGTACTCACACTGTACTCGTCACACTGAAGGGTGAGTCTGGCAAGGTTGGAGTTTTATGCTATGGCCAGTTCATCTCTGGCCATAGCAGAAGAGAGCTGGCAGTTTATCCCCAAAGGACCTTATTGGAAAAGAATAAGCCAGGGTTAAAGACACCTGATGCTTTCAATAAATAGGGATGAAGATGGGGATAGGGATGAAGGAAGAATTTTATGTTGGCATTGATGACCACAGGCTTTTGTTCCTGCAGCTGTCTCTTCCTTCCTATGAACAGTTGCCTTAAGTTCATTGAGGTCAACTGATCACTTGAATCATATGGTCTGTGTTCATGGCTCTTGCTCTTAAACAGTGAAAAGAGGCAGCCTGAGTCAGTGGGAGTTTACTAATAGAAGGGCAAATTTGGCACGGATCGTTTATTTTATTATCCATGACAAATATTGCACCCAGCAAACTACACAATGTATGGTAATGCATTATGATGAGTACAGGGATGTCTTTATAAAGCTGGAGTTGGACAAATCATCCTGCCTGCAATTAGACCCGTGCGAATTCATCAACTCCAGTGAGTTTGTGTGGGTCTAACAGAGGGCAGAGTGTAGCAATATGAGTGCAAATGTTGTTTCATTAAACTCTTCCTCTGCTTTGCTGGTATGAGGAGTGATGCATTTTGCATTGATTTTTATCACCATAGGAGATGTCTTTGAGGGGTATTTAATTGAAAGGCACTTGTGCTTAGTTGTGAAACAGCTGACTGTATTCCTGATGTGAGAGCTCTTCCGTTTCCTTGCATGGTGGTGTTTTCCTTTCACTGCCCTGTGTTGTTTTAGGTTACATGTCCTACCATGCTAAGGTAGGACTGTATTTCCTTGTTCATGTGGTTAGCAACAGCAAAAGGGAAATTCTGATTCTGATTGGGATCTGGGAGTACTGCAACAACATAAATGTAAAAGTGAATAACGAAGTTAGTGGTTAAACATTACACTGAAATGACACAAGAGAGTCATAACCTGTAACTAGTGATTGTTCGAAAAGGGAACAAGCAGACTTCCTTAAAGGGCAGATCCCTTAAAAAGGTGTTGCAGTATCTCCCTTTTTAATTACTCTTTGCTAGAAATTCTTCCCTTGTTTGCTGTATGTGATTTACATGTAGATACTCCAGGGAAACAACTACTTTCATTCTTTTCAAAAACTTTAAGTTTGGCCTGTGAATACTTTTTCCATGCATTTACCTGTGTAACTTGTGGAGTTACTTCTGGAGCCTGAGATCTAACATAGCTATATCCCCAGTCATAGTGACATTTCTTAAAGCTGAGGGCTTGTCATAATATAGCCAAGCTGTTGTACTCCTGTAGTTAGCTTTTAGTAGTGTACCTTTTGCGAATTAGTCTGAAGTGACAAAGTTTGTAATCTTTTATTAGTCCAAGTAAGAAAGGACATGATTTGTCCAAGGTTTTGTGGGTGGGATTCATTGTGCCCGGCTGCAGGCATGCATCCAAGCCAAGTTTAGGATTCTCCAAAATCAGGTGGGGAAAAATGGGTGATCTCACAGCATGACTGTGCCCATGAGTACTACTTTCTATCTACTGTACCTTAAGGAAACCCTGAATGACAATCTTCCATGTATGCTCACTAGACAGCAAAAGCTGTGCTACAGAATCTGTCCTGGCATCCATATTTCCTCTAGGCATTTTGCCTGTCTTGTGGGTAGTTTTCTCTGTCTACCAGGATAGAGTTGTTGCACAAATATAATGAGCAATAGTAATTCCAGATTCTGAACAAAAACTTGTGGCACAGGCAATATTGAACTGGAAGGAAAATACAATGGAAAGAAAATTTCCCTTGTTACGGGGAAAAGGAAAGTATGATATAACTTTTTTTAATTATTTTAAAAATGAACCAAAGGGTTGTCCAAATTCAGCTCAATCAACACGGTGTGTATGAAGCGCATTACTAAAACTTTACACAAAGAGGACTGTATGAACTGCCAGACTGGTAGTCCAAACCACACAGCAGCCTGTGTCTCTCAGTGCTGGGATACTTAAATCAGAAAGACACAGCAAAACCCCTGTGAACAATTATAGAAAATGTACACATACATGAAATTCTTCCAACTTAATAGTTGGCTTATGTCTAAACCACAAGAGTTGAAATCCATTCTATATTAATTTTTTTCGATGTTATGTAGTAAAGATGATCTCATTACCATTTAAATTTCTAATCAATTTTTAAAGCTTTTTAAGACCCTTGGATCAGTGCTAGTTGGGGCAATGACTTACATGGATTAATTATACACTGAAAGAGGAAATGCCATTTAATCAATTTTAAGTCCAGTGCCTTTTCATTTTGTTAAAATATTAGAGTAACTTGAAGTATATGAAGCACAGGAGACTCCTGATGCTACTCAGCATTGCAGTGAATAGTTAAAAGCTGAGTGGGACAGTTAAAACATGAAAAGCTGAAGAGCTTGTATCGTACATCAGTTACCTCAGGGAAGGAAATAAAAACTTCTCTATGTGGAGTGTCTGTTTAGTTTTGTAACACGTCTGACACTACAGACTAGAGCTGACAAAGCTTTCCTCCTTGCAGGCTGCCTATTTGCATCCATTTCCAGGATGGGAGATCTGACAGAGCCCCTCCTCACTGGAAAACCAAACCCACTGGGTTTGCACAGTGCTCTGTGTGTGTGTGTGTATTTATGCTTGCACACACATCCCTGGTTGAATGTGCATATGGTGTAAGGGGAAGAGACCATGGGGTCCCATGGGAGAAGTGCTATCTGAAGGTGGCTTCTTCTACAAGAACAATTGATGCCCTCTGCAGACCGTGTTCTGCCTGATCCCCAGTTCTCTTCTGTAAAATGGACCACTGGGAATGAGTAGGACTTTGTGAGAATGGCCCTTTGGGATGTGAGCCACGCACGTGCTGTAGGCATTGGTGTTGGAAATGATGCTAAGCAAAAAAAAAGCAGGAGATTTCCATGAGGTGACGGTGGCAAATTTCATAGTAAATGGCCATTTTTTAAATCTTCAAATCTCCCTTATACCATTGAATAACAGTATAATTAACATTTGCATATAGAGTCTGTTTCTGAGCAAGGTATGTAGGTATGGCTGGGGCAAGTTTGTTCCTGATGTATTCATGGGTACAGTTACTTTGCAACAACAAAGCACATACTGTCATCCTTATTGGATCAATTCTGTGTGGGTAACTCTTTCCTCTTCTTTTATAGGTAACACGGTAGCAAAGAATAAACCTGTGGGTCACTACCAGAACAAAGACACGTTGCTTGGCTGTTACACAGAGACCCTTTTCTGTGACAATGCCATTGACTTAATTCTTTGAACTTGCAAAATTAGTCAGCAAAAAGGACACTACTTCTCCTTTCAATTGTGGCTGCAGTTCCTGAACCTGGATTTATACCTGGATATACAGAATGGTACATTTTAATTTCACAAGAAAAAACAAGGAGATTTGGTTCTACCTGAAATGCACCCTGGATTCCCAAGAATCTGATACGTGGCAGAAATTCGTGGAAGAGCACACCTGAACTTCTGTGGTGCATCAAGGATAAGACTTTCTTAACAACACTAAGATATGTAAAATTGTTTTAAAGGAGTTTAGATCATGAATGTAACCTAGGGGGTCAAAGAAAGAAAACGCTTCTGTTAGAACTGATATGGATGATCTTAAAGGTCTTTTCCAACCTAAAAGATTCTATGGTTCTATGGATTGGTCTGAGGTACTTCTCACATACAGTACAATATAAAAATACAAAGCTGATCCCAATGCTAAGTGAGTTGACAGGACAGTGTAGTAAATTATGTCTTGGTGTATTTTCAACGGTGATTTAGTAACTATCAAGGTTGTATGATGGTGAAAAGATGGAACTTACAAATCAGTAGCAATTATTGTAGGGCAAACTTTGATTATATCTGTGCAGTTAGATTTATTTTCTTAGATAGTTCTGGGTAGTTTAACTTTTACATTCATAAGTGGTGGCAGGAAAGCATGAGGAAGAGAAAAAATTTGAAAATAGACATAGTTTTTCTTGTCCTAAAATAAATCCATTCTCTAGGGGAATAGCAATGTATACGTATTCCTTGCCTCTTTGAATCTAGATATGGAAAAGAATTTAGCCATTAGCTAGAAATATTCATTCAGATTCCACAAAAAAAGGAGAGCATGCATAAGGAAAGCTTACTGGAAGGAGGGTAATTTGTTTGGATTTTCATAGCTTTGGTTATATACTAATAGGTAACATACTTAAAATTCATAAGCAAAATTCTAGATAAAAGTGAATCTTCACTTTCAATTAGTTCTTGTTTAGAATGATTATAATAATTAAATGTCCAGTTCTTTGACAGACTGAATTTCCAAGTAGTTACATTTTGTGACACATAATTGTTCCATATTATTGTAGATGCATTTCATACTGTTTTTCTTATTTGCCTGTTACAGTTTTTTGTCATCAGTCTTCATAAATAGAACAGCAAGTAGAGGTGAAGCTGTAGCCAGTCTGTTCCCTGTTACATCATTTTGTGACTTAAGCTGCATTGAAACAGACTAAAATGCAAGGATGCAGATGGCTGTCATGCAGATGAACTGCTGCCGACCCAGCAACTGAATTCATTGTTATGCTTTATGTAAATAGTAAGGTAACAGTGTATATCTAATTTTTATATAGACAGAAAAGCCAAAAAAATAAAATGAGTGTATTCTACTAATTTAGGTCATTGTGCACAAGCTTTCTAGTTTATGGGAAAGAGCATCAGCAGTGTGAAGCTCTTTAGAGTAATAATTGTTAGCTTTTGATTTGCTGGAGTGAGTGAGAGTATTCAGCCAGGTAGTTCCATTGAAGTCAGTGGTGGGAAGATCTGGCCCTGCATTTTTTTGGTTTTGATTTCTCTGGTTTAGTTCACTATCAATTATGTATTTGATTACAGCTGGGATCATAGTGGTCATTGTACTCGGTGATAAGTAAACAAGAGATTTTCTGCTCTGTGCTTGGACAGCTGAAGAGGCAGTAGACTCTGCTTGCTCTAATGAGCTCTATATTCCTAATATTTTTCCATTGTTTCAATTTCCTGATTAAATTTAAAATTACCTTTATTATTCCTACTGTTTCTGTGTGTATGTATTCAATGATACCATCAGTGAAATAATTTTCATTTACTATTTTTACAATGTTGACTCGTAACTGGTATTTATTTATTTACTTATTTATTTTGGTAAGTGCTCCTCGAAGGCATAGTAAAAATCATTGCTGGGATGTTCTAAATGGACAAACGAGTTTTAGAGAACAGTTATTATTTTTCTCTTTTTTCAAGATAAATACAAAGAAATTAAGTTACTTTCCCGTGGTCATACACTGGATTTCTGGGGAAACTGAAAATGTAACTAAAATTTATGTCTAATTAAAGTCTTTCCTGTTCAAGGCACATAACATACTTACCCCTTTGGTGTACAGTAGGTTACATGCCTTGCAATAGCAACCTGGAAGGTGTTTTTGCTGCCACTGAGGAAGGGGGAAAATACAACGTAAGTTTAATAGCCCAAATGAATGACTTGCCTTCCTAGATCCTATAAGTTTGATAGCATGAGATTATGAAATACACCCCAAATGAATGACTTGCCTTCCTAGATCCTCAGCCCATGACAGAGATTATATATTCCTAAAGCAGCTTCGTTCTGGAGGATCTTGGGTTGATTTACAGCTTTTTCTGACTCATTGCACAAATGCTGTAATATATGCCTGTCTCTTTTTGGAGGATTGCTGTTTCTTCTAATGCTGTTGTCTGGCATCTGACACCAGTGTAGCCCTTCTGCTGAGTGATAGCAAAATTAAAGTCTTTGCCAGCAGCTCTGTTAGTACAAGAGATCAGCGTCCCAGATTCTTGGTGTGTTCTCTATGTAAATCTTTTAGTTTATGTTTATCTACTAGTTCTAGAAGAGCAGGTTTTGCAAGCAGCATACTCACAATCTCTTAGAAACCTCAGTTTGCATCCCACTGTGAAGCTTCTATGAGACTAAAACAGGTGCGTCATCATGTCCAGGCTTTTGTTTGGGCAGGCATTGCCTCCTGCAGTCTGGTTCAGAAAGTAATCCTCTTTGTCTTAAAGTGGCAATGTTTTGCCATTCAATTTCTAACAAAGATTGTCACAGACGCTCCTCTGATGAGGTATTATTCTAATATCCAAGCTGAACTGATCCACGTCCTGATTATACCTGTATCTTACTTCTTAACTTTGCTCTTTTCTATCCTCATTAGGATGACCCTGATGTGTTTTCATTCACCCAGGTGACATTTCAGTAGGCATAAAATAACCATGGCCTCTTCATCTCCCTTCTTTTTTCTCTGCCTATTTTTGTAGCTCTCTTTGCATCCCTTGCAATTTAATTTTGGTCGAGGATTGCCAGAATTATGCACTTTATTTGACATCTGCCATTGCCAGTTTTCTAGTGTCATTTGCATTTCCCCATCTCTGCTGCAAATACTCTACTTTCTACAGCCTATGTTGCTTTTGCCTTTTTCATAGCTACATCACACACCAGCAAGTCCCACTCAGTGAGTGTTTGACTGATATTCTAGGCTTGCTCTTCTCAGCTCACACCTCCTTGCTGATAGTGTGTATTCTTACCAATTCCGCTTCAGAGAATGGCCTTGAAGTTTGTGCTGCTGAATGTCACCCACCGTTACTCTCCCAGGCTGAGGTCATGAGGGGCTGCCTGTTCCCTGTGCTGAGGTTTTCCTGTGCCTCTTTGCAAGGCCATGGTCAAACACCACCCAGGCTGACTGGTGAGGAACTCCAGCCTATCTTATTTTGAAGAGAAAGTACCATTGTTCACTCTTTAGCCAGTTCCTTACCAGTGTCCTTATCTTCTCCAATTAGATAAGGAAATATCTGTGGTATCAAAATAAATGCATTGATATATAAACTAGATTAATGGAATTTTCTTTATCTAGAAAATAAATTATCTTAATGAAAATCCCTGCAAGGTTTCTCTTGTATCCTACAACTGTTAAATCCATGACAGATTTTATTCTGTTTTCCATTTACCCCTGTCTGTTACCTTCAAGGATTTGTGTTAGAATTTTTACCTAAAAAGAATGAATAAAATTTTTACATTTGCTGTAAATTTTCTCAAGAGTTACTTCATAAAAAACTGACAATAATAGAAAATGCCTTTAAAGACTAACAATTTGCTTGCAGACTCAACAGTTAAGAGTTCTGTCATAACTATAGATGCTTCAGTATCTATTGAAATATAGATGATCCTGTAAGAAACTTTTAACTGTTTAGGATAAATAAATGGCTCTAAACTGTGGTAATGTCATTTAAAGGAGCAGCAGAGTGTCCCAAGCTCTGCATTGTGGAAATGCTCACCTTGGAATTTGGAATATACTGGTTATGTTGAGCTCATGAGGATGTGTTTTTGAAGGTTATGGTTGCAGAGATTCTCACTGCATGGAAATGAGACTCCTACACCTGTAGATGTAGAGTATGTACTTTTTTCTACCTCAGTTACTGTAGTGTTTAGTTGAGCAACTAGATCCCCTTTGCAAAAACAGGATTATCTAGACAAAGATAAAAGGTGGAGTTTTTTTCCAAATGATGACTTTTCCTTGAAAAATAAGCAGCACATCTCTTGCGATTTTCTTTGTGTCTTTTGCTTGTTAAACAGTTACTCTTTTTAAAAGAAAAAAAGTGCCTAGGCAGTGTTTTCAGCTTGAACTTTAAAGTCTAGAACCTTGTATGTGTATGTCTTAGTTACCAGATTTTTCTTATTTAGATAAAAATTCACAAAGGTAATCAATTAGAATAACAGCCTGTACCAACCTTCAAGAGACCTTTTGCATTTTATAAAGTACTGTAGCCTTATTATTGTTATGATGACAAAGTCATCCACCAGGAGAAATTAATATTGCGGTTAGAACACTTCAGGGGCCATTCTATCCTGCTTTGCGCGTGTGTGTGACGACCCCATTAATACTAACAGAAATTACGTGCACTTGAAGAGTGGTTGTGGTGGCATAGATAAAAAGTTTCTTCCTTACGGTCATTTATACAAAATGATAGTCAATGAAATTTTGCCAGAAAAATCACTACAGGCTACACTTAACTTGGAAGCTCAAGCCTGGCAAATGCAACAGCATTTTACCAGCTCAGGATGGACCCTGGAAGTGAATATGTCTCACTGGTCCTTTGCAGTGTGATGACTTCTGAAAGGTGCAGATGTGAGGGAGGCCGAGTGGAAAGTCAACTCTGGCTTAATTCTTCTTGCCCATGCCATACACGGAAGAAAGAACATTGAGTATGCAGTCTTTGTACGCCTTTCTGCGACTGAAGTTCTGAGATTTATAAATCCCTTCTAGCTGGTGTAAGTTTTTCGTTTTGGAAGGTATCTAAGGGCAGGGTCAGATCACAAGTGATTAAGCAGCGCATACTAACAAGATCCTGATCTTTAGCTGAAATGCAGGTATCACACATGTTTGTGGAGGTATGAAGTGAGGTAGCTTCAACTACTATGAAGGCTGCAGCTGGGGGACAGTAGTAGCTTTTAAAGATATACTAACTCTTTGATTTAAGTTATCTGCCATAACCTAGATTGTACCTGCAAAGTAGTGGTTGTCTAGGGACATTGGGTGATCCAGCATTAGCAGTGGCTTCTTCATTTAGGGTATAAAAGGGTTTTATCTTTGTAAGTGAAATTTTGCACAACTGACTCTTTCGATTTAGATCTTGATGTTTAGTCACTGAAGACTTCTCAGCAGAGGAATAGGAACACAAATGTTTTGTCCACTCACCGGAGCTGTGTTTCGCTTCATGACAATCTACACTGACACAAGATCGCACAGATTGTGAAGGGCATTTACACAAAAAAGTATAAATTGTAGGAATCCAATATGCCTTCTGCTCCTTAATGTATGCACTGGGTGAAGATTTAGTAATCCCACTCATGGCTCTTATTTGTGCTCTCTGTAATTCAAGTTCGTGGGTGGATGCACTTTCTTCATATACTATTTTTTTTTATTATTATTTTTTTTTTATTTGAATCATCAGGGAGTTTTTTCACAGAAATGCCTTCCAGTCAGGAAGCTTCTTGCTGAGTCTTCTGAGTAGAGGGAAAGTTTGGTTCAGACATGAAAAGAAAGCTAAGAGGGACATGGTTCATCCAATTCCACAAGTGGTCTCTACAGGGAGCCTGAAGAGTAACAAGGTAACCTTGGTAAGATACTCCTCAACATACTCCATTTTAATTATAGAAAGGGTTATTCAATAGACTTTTCAAGGACAATTGACTTGTAGCTATCATATGCCTGAGACCGCAGAGAGCCACAATAAATGGAAAAATAATTTGCATACACCTTAAAGGAGCATCTACAATGCCATCCATCAGTCACCGTAAGAAAGAAACAAGGAACATTGCAAAAGTAGAAAAGTAGCCTAAAAGATAACAAAAAATTGGGTACAGAATCTTTTTGTCTGCTGCATAGAAGTATGTGGATCCACCCAAGCTCATGCATTGAATGATTTTCCAGTTTACAGAAACACAATAATTTTTTCTTTATCACATTTTTCAACAAATACGCCCGTTACTTAAAATTCACTAGAACAAGTGATTTGCAAGCAAAACTGTCAGCTGTTTGCTTACCCTTTAAATTAAGTGGTCCACAAAGTAATCTACTACAGTGGTAAAATCAATGTAAAATGCATTACTCTAAGTCCCAACAAAATAAAATAGGTGCTTTGTAAAACAGCACTGGTATTTGCAGGACTAAACTCTGCTGTCACTTGGATTCATATGAAACTGCTGGAGCTGATGAGTTCACTCGGGTCCGGATGAATGCACAATGATGTTCTCTGGTCTGTCTTTTGAAGATGTGCCCGCAGACAGCAGGAGGTGTTAGTGAATCCGCCAGGAATATTGCAGGAAGAGCACGGAAACGGTACTGCTACTTTCAGAAACTTTTACACAATTTTCTGAAAAGTAATTGGAAAACTTCTTCATTCTACTTTAGACCATGGCTTTTGCAGCCTGTGGTTGAGACCCTACCCCTATAGAGAGCGTAAGTGTCTA